CGTCGAGGTACTTGTCGATGTCGGGCTTGCGGCCCCACGAGATGTCAATCAGCCGCTCCTGCGGTGGGAGGGGGGAGGGGGGGCTGGCGCAAAGAGCGGGTCTGTCTCCCTGCCGTCCGCTCGCGAGCCTTGACAAAGTCGACGCGGCGCTTGTTCGTGTCGCCGTAGAGCAGCTTCTCGACCACCGGCATCTTCGCCTTCTCGAACGAGTTGATCGCCTGCTCGTAGTACTCCTGCGCCGCCTGCGCGGAGCGGCGGGCGCAGCCTCGCGGGGCGCAGTCTCGCGGTGCGGAGGTCTGCAGGCGCAGGCTGCGACTCTAGCAGGCTGCGACTCTAGCAGGCTGCGACTCTAGCCGGCTGCGACTCTAGCAGGCTGCGACTCTAGCAGGCTGCGCGCCTCGATCTCGCCGAGGTGGTGGAGGCAGGAGGCGATGTTGTGGACGATGGCGCCGCGGACCGCGAAGTCCTTCGAGTTGCGCGTCTTCTCCGTCACCTGAAGAGCGCGAGGGGAGCGCGAGCCGAGTGAGAGGGGTGAGCGGCGGGGGGGGAGAGGCTCGGGCGCAGCAGGCCCGAGTAGGGAGGGCGGCAGGTGGGGAGGAAGTCCGGGGCGGGAGGGGTGAGAGTCGGAGCTGCGCTGCAGGCTGGGCCCCTCCGGCTCCCGGGCGGGCGGGCACGCACCGCGAGGCAGGCGGTGAAGGTGTTGAGCGCCATCTCGTACTCGCCACGGTGGAACTGGAGGCCGAGCAAGGAAGAGAGGCGGGGTGAGAGGCGGGAGGCTGTGGCGAGGGGCGCGGGCGCGGCGCGGCGAGCGCAGGAGGCGGGTCGGGGCGCGCGCGCGGGGCGGCGGCGCTGCTCGCGGGGCGGCCGTGCCTGCTCCTTTGCTTCGGTGAGCAGGTTCCACTCCAGCTGGTTGAGAGTGTCCTGCGAGGGAGCGGCGCTCGGAATCGGCGGAGGCGCTCCCGGGCGGGAAGGGGGCTGCTGGGAGCAGCGCGCGCCTTCTTGACGGTGGCGCCAATTTGCGCGTGGTACTTGGTGACGCGCGAAAACAGCTTTTCGGACACCTGAGGAGCGGACCGGAACGGAGGAATCGGACCTCACACTCGCGGCGCCCTCTTTGATCCTGAAATCGCGTTCGGATTCGCGCGGGCTTGGCCGGTGGCGCGCGCACGTCCGCAACGCCGCGCTCGTCGTGGCTCATACTGGAAGGAGCGGGGTGGCAGGGAGGCGGAGCGGCGAGCGCTGTCGGGAGTAGTGCGGCCAAAAGCCCAAGCAAAGCTCTAAGTCGGCCTTTTATCGTTTTTTTGAGAGCGCCTTCGTTGTTAATAGTACAAACCCAGTGGTCCTCTGCGAGTTTTTTTCACGTAAACGCACAACCCCGGGCCCCGAAATCGCACAGTGATGACAGTGACATGCAACACGGGGTCCCAGGGAAGGCGAGCAAAACCCTTATCGCGCGCGCTAGACGCCGACTCGGAGACCGCACCGGTCATGCGCGCTTGCGCGCAGCCGGAGAGAGAGGGAGGCGCTCAATCGGAATCGCCGAACTCGGCGAGCGTCTCCAGCGTCTCCGCTTCGTACGCACCCTCCTCCCAGCAATTGAGCGCCTCCTCCACCCCCGCGCCCGCGCCCGCAGCGTCCGTGCCCGCGAGGATGGCGGCGACGCGCTCCCTCTGCCGAGCCTTCGCCTCCGCCTTCGCCTGGTTTTTTTTCACGCACCTGCTGCACGGCAGGCTTCGACGAAGCCTCACTTCACAGGAGGCAGTGGTTGTGGTTGTCGTTGTACATGGTAAATAAGCCGTAGGTAAACCCGCGTGCTGTGAATAGCACAGGCGTGGTCTGTACTCACCAGCCTGCGCGTAAAAAGAACGGCAGGTAGTCGGGGGGGATGGGCCTGAAAATGAAGAAAAATCTTTGCTCGTTCACGGCCACGAGAGGGCTGCGGACCTTGACCCAGTCTCATCGCAGGGCCATATGTCGAGTGACGCGCACGCACAGGACGCGCCCGCTGCCACCAGCCTCTACCCTCCCCGAGACAAGCAGACGCGAAAGCTGTGGGACTCGCTCTGCAAGTTCCGCAAGGCGAGTGCGCGGCCGGCGTCCGCCCGCACGCCAACGGAGCTTGCACTGCCCGCCCAGTCGAGCTACATCCGCGCGTGCATCTACAGCTACGCCGAGCGACTGGGCCTGCGCGCCACCAAGATGGAGAGCGGGGAGGGTGGCAGGCGGCAGCTGGGCGTGCTGGTCACGCTGCCACCTCCGCCTCCGCCGGCGGCCGGCGGGGCACGCGTCGCCGAGGCGGCTGGTGCCAAACGGAAACGCGACGAGGCAGCGCCCGGACCGGACGCGGCACCGGACGCGTCCTCCGCGCCCGTCGACGGCAGCGGTGCCGCCGAACAGCCAGCGCCAGCCGAGGCGCCGCCGCCGCCAGACGCGGACGCCGCGGCGCAGGCTCCTCCGCCGACGGAGCCGCGCTTCGACCGGAGGGAGAGCAGCAAGGAGCTGCGCCGCTGCGCGAGCAGGTCGGACGCCGCGGGCGCCGCCCGCGTCTTCAGCCGGATGGAGGCGGCGGGCGCGGCGCCCTCCGACGCGGACTGCTCGCTGCTCCTCCACCTCTGCGGCATCACTACTCCGCCGGACGTCGCGCTGGCGGCGCGGGTCTGGGAGGCCGCGAGGGCGGCGGGGACGCCGCTGCACGAGCCCAGCTGGTCGGGGATGATCCGCCTCATGTGCGCGCACGGCGACGTGGCGCGGGCTCAGGCGCTCCTCACCGACATGCTGCAGGGCTCCTGCGCCGACCGCGTGCGGCTCCGCTCCTTCTCGCCGCTGATCGCGGCGGCCGCGGACCGGGCGGACGCGCCGCTCGCCGCCTCGACGTGCGAGCAGATGCGCGCCGCCGGCCTCGCGCCGGGCGACGCCGAGTTCATCATGCTCGCCCGGCTGCACGCGCGCCGAGCAGACGGCGACGCGCTCGGCGAGCCGCTCCCAGACACTTCCCCAGACACACTTCCCCAGACACTTCCCCAGACACTTCCCCAGACACTTCCCCAGACTCTTCCGAGCCTCCCAGACGCCTCCTAGACGCGCTCGGCGAGCTGGCCTGGCCGGACGGCGACACGTCCGCGACACGTCCGCGACACGTCCGCGACACGTCCCGCAGGCGAGCTGCTCGGCTGGATGGCGACAGAGGTGTCGAGTATGTCGGACGAGCACCTCGACGCCATGGCGCACTGCTTCGACATCGGCGCGGCCGCCACGCCCGGCGGAGAGGGCGCGGCAGCTGCAGCCGGCACGGCCGGCACGGCGGCCTCGGCCGGCGCGGCCGGAGACGCAGCGCCGCAGGACGGGCCAGACGCCTATATAATAATTAAATGAAATATAATAATAATTGTTATATAGCCGCAGGACGGGCCAGACGCCTATATAATAATTAAATGAAATATAATAACAATAAATATTATTATATAGCCGCAGGACGGGCCAGACGCCGAGCCGGGCGGAGGAGGGGCGGGGGTCGCACCGCCGACCGCATCGGATGCCGGCGCGCGTGCGCCCAGCCGGCCGTGGGGGTGGCGGGCTGCTCTGACCGAGGTGGACGGCTCTGGCCGCTGCTCCGCGTCCGGGCTCGTCCTGCAGCAGGTTGCGGTCGACGCTGACGAGCGGGCGGCGCTGTGCGAGGGCATCAAGCGGCTCGCGAGTGGCGGGCGCGACTTTGGGCGCTTCACGGAGTGGGTGCGGGAGAGGGTGCGGGAGAGGGGCCCGTGGGACTTTGTGCTCGACGCGGCAAACATCGGCTTCTTCGGCCAGGGCAAGGAGGTGAGCCGCGTGCGGCGGCAGGCGCGCGCCGCGGCAGCAGGGCCCGTCTCGGCAGGCGCCTCCGACGCGGCCTCTTCCTCCGTCTCTTCCTTCGTCGGCGAGGCGGAGCGGCGGCGCCGGGGCAGAGGTTGAGGTGCCGTCTCGCTCGAGGGCACCTCCAGACGCGTCCGAGACACTTCCACTAGGCGCAAGGCGGAGGCGCATCGCGAGGAGCTCCTCGACCTGCAGCAGGTGGACCGGCTGCTGCGCGCGATCCAGCGCATCCGGCGGGAGGGGCCTCCGCCGCGAGTGCTGCTCGTGCTGCACGAGAAGCACACGACGGGCCGGCCGGCCGGATCCGAGGAGGCGAAGCTGCTCGCGCGCTGGAGCGAGGAGGGCGTCCTCCTCGCCACTCCGCGCAAGCAAAACGACGACCTCTACTGGCTGTACGCGGCCATGGCCTCGGGCGACGGCTGCTGCGTCGTGTCCAACGACCAGATGCGGGACCACTCGTTCGGGATGTTGCGGCCGCGCTCCTTCTCGCGCTGGCGCGACCGGCACGTGGTGCGCTTCTGCTTCCGCGAGTGGCAGCAGGAGCCGACTCTCGAGTTTCCGCGAATCTTCTCGTCCATCATGCAGTTCGAGCCAGCCTCGAGCACGTGGCACATCCCGAGCCACGAGTCGAGCCGCTGGCTGTGGGCGCAGCACGGGGCGGCTTGAGCGATCGCGCACACCCGGCCGGGCCGGGGAGGGCGCCAGGAACTCCTCTCCCTCTTGGCCCATCGTCGTCTCCCTCTCTTCTCACTGGTCACTCTTGGTCCCCGACGACGCACGAGCGATGCGACTCTCCCGGCTCGCGCGCTCTCACCCTTTGTCTTTCTCCACAGTGTGGGTATTGCCTAAGCACACAGATGAAGCGAGCACTTTGAAGGAATACGCGTTGAGAGGTGGTGCTCGGCTTGCTTGAAACAACTCGTTTTTCTTGTTTGCGCATATGCGCCTTGACCCTTGTCACACTAACAGACAGACATTTGCCGAGCGCTGCTGCACGCTCGCCGCAGTAGTCTCGAGACAGCGCATTAGCATGTCGACTCCTCCCCCTCCCTCGTCCTTCATCGAAGAAGTGAACATCCAGTACGAGGGTTTGCCCGCCCGAGAGTCTCGACACTGTGAGGGTGCGCATTGGACTCCAAGTCGACGGAGACGTCTGTGAGGAGCTACGTTCACCCTCGTGGCCCTGGCCATCGAGGGGTCCCGTACCATGCGGAATCGACCCTATCCAGTGCTTAAGTGCTCAAGGATCAAGGTGTCTATGGACGCCCTCCTCAGAAGCTAGCTGCCTACTGCTAGCCCTATCTCGCTGCTGCTGCGCCAACGAGAGACGGCGACACGAGGCTGCTGGCTGCTGGCAGAGCGAATCGCGATTCCGGCGGCCGCCGTCAGCCCGCCGACACCGACAAAGTGCTCGCTTTGAAGGAACTCTACGCCTCGATTTGGAGACCGAAACGAACAAACTCCACGCCCGAAAAAAAGAGCGCGACGTGTACAGCGACCACTAGCGACAGGAGAGGCGTGACTTGGACCCACACAGGGTCTGGTTCTTGTGACTTGAGCGGGGTCGGTTGTAGTATCAGTGCCGTCAGTTGAGAGATGGCAAGCAGCACGCACGTGATCGAGGCGAGCTTTTGCTGCAGCAGATTTTGCGGCGGCGGCGTTTGTAGCGCGAAGTCAGATTTTGGCTTCGCCAAGCGCCGTGTAGGTGCGCGGCGACACGGCTCATCCTTATGCTTCTTCGGCTTAGCTCGACGCTGTTTGACGGAGGCCGATAGTAGCATCACGAGACAACGAGAACACTAAGTCGTACGTACGACGGTGCAGGCAGGGCCATTCGGAGAGTGTGCCGAGGTTATCGCCGACGGAGGGAAACATTGAAATCCCCCCGCCTTCCCCCCCTTCCGGTACGGCACGAGCCACGGGCGGCACGGCGGCGGCCACGGCCGCGGCGTGCCGGGCGACGGCGGCGACGGTGGAGAAAGGAACAAGATCAAAAATACATCGCGCGCGTCGCGCGCGGACCAAAGGGCCGCTCCCCCTACCTACGAACGGCAAACGGCGGCCCTCGCCTCGAGTCGAACGAACCCTCGAAGTTCGCAGCTAGGTTAATTCGTTTTTTTGCGCGCATGCTCAGGCTCGCCCTGCTTGCTCAGTCGGCGTGCGCCCTTCGCATCGCCCCGCTAATGACGGCTCGCTCTGCTGCAACCATGGCCGACGCCACCAGCTCCGCGCCCGAGCTCCTCTTCGAGTCTCCCGCCTCAACACTGGGCAAAGCGGCCTCGACGGTGGTTGTTGGGCGGCAAACTGCGCTTCTCGAGCTGTCGCCGACGCTCCTTCCTGCCGGCGTGCCCGTGGATCTCTGGAAGGCGCTTGTGGGTAAAGTCAAGCCCGGTGACGCGGGCGGCTCCGCAAGCACGATGTACACCGCTGCAGACGGCGAGGCCAAGACGCTGGTCGCCGCCGTGCTGCCCGAGCACTGCTCGCGGCACAATTCTCCGATTCGCCCGCACGCGATCACCTCGCTCGTCGCCCCCGCCGCGACCGACGCCGCCAAGGAGGGCGGCGGTGCCGCCGTCCTCCTCGTCCTCGAGGAGCCGGCGCACGCGGCCGGCGCAGCCTGCGCTGTCGCTCGCGCCTTCCCGCTCTACTCGCAGAAGAAGCTGCGCCAGCCGGCCGAGCCGCGCGGGTGCGTGCGGGTCGGCTTCGCCACCCGCTCTGCCGCCATCTCCGACGGCGCCGGGAGCGTCTACGGGCCTTGCGCGAAAGCGGCGGCGGGCGTGCGGCTGGCGGCACGGCTGGTCGACGCGCCTCCCGAGCAGCTCACGACGACGGCCTTCGTGCAGGAGGCGGGGGCGGTGGCGGCGCGGCTGCGCGAGCAGGGCCGCGAGGTGACCTCGTCCGGGTCCTCTCTGGGCGACGAGCTGAGGAGTGTATTGACTCGTTAACTGATGCGTCAACGAGGTGCTCGTCGAGGTCATCTCTGGCGACGAGCTGCGCGAGCGCGGCTACGGCGGACTGTACGGCGTCGGGAAGGCTGCGACCGAGCCGCCGGCGCTGTGCGTCCTCTCGCACGTGCCGGACGGTGCGAGCAAGAAGGTTTGCCTGGTCGGCAAGGGGATTGTGTACGACACGGGAGGGCTCGCCCTCAAGCCAAAGGAGGGCATGTGCGGCATGAAGGCCGACATGGGAGGCGCGCCGCGCCGCTGCTGCCGGGCTGAGGCGGCGCCTCCCTTGAGCCTTGCCGGAGCCCTGCTGCAGGCGCCGCCGGGCTGCTCGGCGCCTTTGAGGCGGCGGTCTCCATCGGCACCGGAGGCACGGCGCTGCACTGCGCCCTCTGCCTCGCTGAGAACGCGATTGGGCCGACGGCCTTCCGCAACGACGACGTGCTCTGCTTCTTCTCTGGCAAGACGTGCGAGATCAACAACACGGACGCCGAGGGCAGGCTCGTCCTCTCGGACGGCGTCGCGCACGTCACCGCCTCGCCCAGCCTGCTGCCGGGCGGAGGCTCGCCCGACCTCGTCGTCGACATGGCGACGCTCACCGGTGCGCAGATGGTCGCGACGGGGAAGCACTTCGCCGCCGTCTTCACGAACGACGAGGAGACCGAGCGCGCCGCCGTCGCGGCGGGGAGGCGCACCGGCGACCTCGTCCACCCGGCACCGCCCTCCCCCTCAAGAGCGGAGCAAGGCCAGCCGGTGAAGCGCGCCTCACGCCCTCGCGTGTGCAAGCAGGTTCCTTACGCGCCGGAGTTCCACCGCGCTGAGTTCGCCTCCAAGGTCGCGGACTGCAAGAATTCGGTCAAGGACCGGGGCAACGCGCAGGTCTCGTGCGCTGGCAACTTCATCGGGGAGAACTTGCACCCCGACTTTGAAGGCGCGTGGCTCCACATCGACTGCGCGGGGCCGGCCTTCCACGCCGACCGCGCCACCGGCTACGGCGTCGCGCTCGTGCTCGGGCTGCTCGAGGTCGAGGGCTTCGCGCCGTAGATCGGGCCGAAGATGGAGAGAGACGCCGCAGACCGTGAACCCGCGCGCGCGACAGGCGCAGTGGACGAATGAGGGCACGACGCGCGCACGTCTCTCTCTCACCACGCGACGATGCCACACACGACACACCACAGCACACACACACCGTGTCGCGCTGACGATTGGGGGTCGCATGTGCGCAGCCTCTCGGGGCAACGAGCGCGCTCACGAGTATTCTTACGCCCCGCGGTGGGCAAATTAGCGGAGGCGCGCTTGTAATTTACAAACACAAAACCAGGCTGCTACCAGGGGCCGCGAAAAAAAGGTGCTCATATGGACGGATATTACGTGATATTTCACGTCACCACCGCCGCTGTGAGACGCTTGACCGCCCTCTCCGCGCGCACCGCTGCAATCTCTGCCTCGGAGCGGCTGCCCTTCCCTTTGACTCTCCTCGGGCGACCTCGCCCAGCCACCTCACTCTCGCCACCGCCACCGCCACCGCCACTGGCTCTCCTCCACGCCGCCACCTCGCCGTCCTCTCCGCGGTAGATCAGGTCGGCCTCCAGCGCACGCGCCGCCGCCTCCTCCAGTGCCTCCTCGCCGGCGTCACAGAGCGGAGCAGGCGGAGGCGCGACGAGCATGACGGTATCGCCGGTGGAAGGGTGCGGGAACTCGAGCCGCCACGCGTGCAGCAGGTAGCCAGTATCCCGCGGCAGCGGCGGGCGCGGCACCGCACCGCCGCGCGACCCACCCACACACTCCTCCTCCCTCCCCTCGCCTCCTCCTCTGCCTCCTCCTCCGCCTCCTCCGCCTCCGCCTCCCCCTCCCCGCGGCAGCCCGCCGCGACAGTAGAGCGGGTCCCCAACCAGCGGGTGGCCTGCGTACGCGGTGTGGATTCGGATCTGGTGCGGCCGGCCAGTCGGTATCCGCACCTCAACGAGCGTCGCGCCAGCGCCGCCCGCCGCAGACGCATCGCGCCGCACGACGCGGAGGTGCGAGCGCGCCGCCTTGCACCCGGCGCCGCCCTCTGGCCGGGCCGCGCAAACCTCGCCGCACGATCCGCCAAAGGCGGCCGCGTGCGGCACCGGCCCGATCGGGCAGTCGATGTCGAGCGTCTCGCCCGCGACCAGGCCCTGCACGAGAGCGCGGTACGTCTTCGACACGCGTCGCTCCTGCAGGGCGACGGAGAGGGCGCGCCGCCCGAGAGCAGACGCCGCGCAGAGTAGCAGGCCCGAGGTGCCGACGCCGAGCCGGTGGACGGGGCTTGGGACTGGCTCGCCGCCGCGCCGCAGCAGAGAGAGCACCGTGCTGTCGTGGTAGAGCTCCGACGGCAGCGTGGGAAGGCCGCTCGGCTTGCAGAGCACCACGGCGTGCTCGTCTGCGAAGAGCGTCCAAAGCCACCGTGGCGCCGCCGGCTCGCGCCAAGGAGGTCGGTGGTACTCGAGCCGCTGGCCCTCGCGGAGCAGGCAGTCGGCCGTGGCAGGCGTGCCGTTGAGCCGAAGGCGGCCGGCTCTGCAGTGGGACGTCCACGCCTCGCGAGTCGAGTGGGCGTAGCGGTCGACGAGGAAGTCGAGCAAAGGCTGGCCAGCGGCCGAAGCAGGGACAGTCTCAGGGTAGGTGTTGCCCTCGTTGAGGCGGGACGAGGCGGCGAGAGCGGCGTCACAGAGCAAGGTCCCGCCCGAGCTGCAGCGCCCGCTCTCCTTCGAAATCATGATGATGGGAGCGAGGTGTGCCGCGCCGCGGTGTGGTGCCGCCGCCGCCGCCACCGCTGCAGCGGCCACGCTGTTCGTCCAGCGGTGGTCGCCGCTACCGCTGCCTGCGGCCACGCTGTTGGGGGTGAGTTTTCTTTTTTGGCCATACCGCCATAAAAACGGTATGGCGATGGAGTGCTCTCTACTGCCGCGGCGCCCCTGTCGGTTCGGAGGCGCCCGGCGGCCGCGCGCTTGGTGCCGACGTCGACCGGCTGCTCTCGCGGCGCCGAGGCGTGCCGCTTCGGTCACGTCTCGCGCGCTGCGAGGTGTCTTTTGGCATGTGAGCGCTGGCTAGAGACGCGTTGGCCGGCGCCGCGAACGGTTTCTTTTTTATTGGGCTGGTGGGGGTCCGGAAGGTGAGGAGTCCTCAAAGAGGAGGGTCAGGTGCGGTGCGTGCGAAGGGAGCGGATCCGCCAGTGAATTGTGTACACGCCAGGATCGTGATCTGACTACTCCATGTATCGGAGTTTTTGTTAGTATCATTTTTTCGGAGTTTTGGTCCTGATAAATTCGTGGCGCCCGCGGCGAGCCGAGCCAGGCCACGGCGCTCGGCCTGTTGAGAGAAGACCTTCCCGGACGGCAGTGAAAATTTACCCGACATCAATCGTCGACGGCAAGCTCGAGAACTGCGCCTCCAAAGTCGCCCAGATTCGCCTCTCGCGGCGCGCTGAGTTAGTATCGCCGGTGCGCCAGCTGGCTCTGCTCCACAGCAGGGCATGCCTGACTGGCTCCTGCTAGCCGTGCGTCCTGGTGGCATCCATTGCCAGCTCAGGTAGCCTCAGGAGGTCGCCTCGCGCACGACTCGGCGCCGCACAGCACCGCTCCGCGTTACTACCGAGTTAGTATCGTCGACCCACAGAGGCTGCTTCTCTGTAGGTGGAGCCGACAAACGCCGGCTGGGTCGGCCCCGCCGCCCTCATCGCCGCCGTCGGGGCGGCGGCGGCCTCGGCGGACCATCCGGCGCGCCGCGCGCCCGACGGGGAGGTGTTCACCACTCCTGGCTCCTCACCCCGCCACGCCTTCGTGCAGACGCCGTGGCACCCACCTCAGGCGCCGCTCGGACTCGGTCGACGGCCACCCAAGTGCTTGGCTCGTGCCCAGCCGACCGGCAGGCGATGCCCACTCACTGCTAGGCTAATCTCGGGCCTTCAAGCGGCGGTGTGGTGCCGTGAAGGGCACCGGGACCAAAACTACGATAGTTAGTATCGTGCGGGGGCAGTGCATAAATTCTGTCAAAAATCCAAATCTGCTCCGTGGAACTTATTGGGCTAGGATCATACGTCCGGGAGGCCCCCCTTGCGTGCCGTAACGATCGACAGTGCTGGTACCACTCTCTTCACGTTCACAGGTCGTATCAGGACCATAACTCCGATACATGGGGTAATCTGCTCAGAGAGACTCGTTAGGCCGCGACAGTGTACAAGAGAGAGACAACAGGGCAGAAAAAAACTGCCTGCGTGGTACTCAACAGTTATCGGATTGTCCTGGTGAGGCTCAGCGTCGTCGCCACCGCGCCGTACGAGAGCGCCAGCCCGGCGGCGCACTCGCCAACGGAGGCTGGCGCCGAGCGCTCGTCGAGGCGCAGCCAGCGGGAGCCGCTTGCTGCGCAGAGCACAACGTGCGCTATCGGGCCCGCCAGCAGCAGGGCCCTCGCCTGAGGGCCGCCCGTGGGCTCGCCACAGACGAACAGCACGTAGTAGTATCCGACGTGGCGGAGGGTGTGGTGGATCACCGTGCCGGCGACGTGCGTGGTGCCAAACAGCTGCCTGTGCCTCACGTCAAGCGCCGCGAGCAGGGCGAGAGCCGCGCTCATCGCCCAGAGGAATCGACGTTCGCCCAGAGGAAGCGCCACCAGACCGAGCACCGCCCACCCGTCCGAGAAGGCTGTGAGCATCACGGCCAGCGCGAGCGCGACGTCCACCTTCTGCACCGTCCCTCCGGGCTTGTAGTCGCTCCAGTGAGCCAGAGAGGCGACGTGGCTGAGGAGGGAAGCCCACGGCGAAGCCAGCACGATCCCACGTGGATGCCAGCTCAGCGCCGCAGGAAAGAGAACCAAGAGCGCCGGCACAACCATCCACACCGAGTGCAGGAAGAACTGCCACTGCTCCGAGCGCGTGTGCCCCGCAAAGGTGCTTGGCACGCTGAGCAATTCCACCATATTCAGACTGTCTGGGAATACCTGGGCTGTGCGCGCGGTATTGATTTGCTTTTCGCCCTCGCCCAGGTCGTCGCCGCTCGCGTCTGCGATCGACTGCGAGAAGCGAACGGACGAAGAGCTGAAGAAAAATCCGCGAGCTCCGCTTGCCAACAACATACTTAGAAGAGAACGACGCGACAGAGGAGGAAGTGACAAGGGAGAGACCGACGAGAGTGGGACGGCCGCGAGGTGGCATGAAGGTTGCAGCGAGAAGCGGCGAGAGACTGCGAAAAGAGATACGAAGAGGCAGACTCCCCAGGGTGGGCGACGGCTAGCGCACCACACTCCTCTCCTTAAAATCCCTGTGTGGTGGCGGCGTGCCGTTCTCCCATCCCTCCCTTGGGTTGTGTGTTTTCTTTCTTTCTTTCTTTAACATACCTAGCTTGGGATGTCCGTCTACTCTCTTTCTTTACATACCTACAACGCCCAGCACTCGGAATTTGCCAAGAAAATACCTAAAACTCGGCTTGAACTTACTTCAGAGACTATGGAGAAAGTTCACGTCATGACGGTTAAAACGGCTGTTAACGTGTTAACGGTCGCGACGTGGTCAATATGTCGTGACAGCGGCTGCGAAACGACAGCAGCAACGACAGCAGCAACGACAGCTGGTGACAGCTGGTGACAGCTGGTGACAGCACAGCCAGCTAGCTGCCAGGGAGGAGTGAAAGGCACCCAGGAACAGTGACAGCCATAGTGACAATGACAGTGAAGCCAGTGAACGCCAGCGACAGGCGGTGACAATGTCAGCGCGGGACCCTGCGAGTGACAGCGACAGCGACAGCGACAGCGACAGCGACAGCGAGGCAGCGCCAGCGCCACAGTGAGGCAGCCATAGCCCTAGTGACAGGCACCAGCAAAGGGGCCCAACCGCCCACCCACCCATCTGTGCATTACACCCCATGGACTAAAATAAGACACTGGTGCGCGTGGATGTAGCTCTCAGCGCTTGATGCACAGCAGCGTTTGTACGTCTCACACATTTTGCAAAACTCCTGCTCCTCTACCTCAGAGCAGAACCGAGCTCTCTACATGAGAGTTCCTGATCAACGCCTTGTGGCTCGGCAATGGCCAAGAGGTTCAATTCTTCAATACCCGGGGTGTGTTGCTCAATGCTCTGCGCGTTTGCTTGCGACGTGGATTTCAAGGTCCCAATCCTCGCGGTTGATGATTGACGCCGTTCGCTCGCGTGAGATTTTTGAGCGGCAGATGAACCAGCGCTGGAGCCCATCACGGCACATGCTGGAGGAAGGAGGGCAAGGGTTTTGCAGATTCTGTGACTCACGCCCGCTGCTGCTGACGGTGCGTGGCTACTGTTGTGAGAGGGTTTCTCATGTGGCGTCGGGTGTGCGAGTGAGCTTGAGTGTCCTGTCTCTCTCGTTAGTGGCACCACATCCCATTGTGACACTGTCCTGCGGGGGTGCTCATGAGAGCTGCAATGACAGCAGCAATGACAGCCAGCAACGACAGCGACGACAGCAGCAATGACAGCAGGAATGACAGCCGCGCAATTACAGCAGCAGTCACAGTTGGACCAGTCGGGGGATGGTTACGACAGCAGCAATGACATCAGCAACGATAGCTGGTGACAGCTGGTGACAGCTGGTGACAGCTGGTGACAGCTGGTGACAGGTAGGTGTCACTGTCGCTGTCGTTTGCTGTCATGACAGCTCCCAGCTGTCGTGACAGCGGCTAACGGTCGTGACAGCGGCTAACCGTCATGACGTGAACTTTCCATAGTCTCTCACAGACAGATAGATATACAAGAAGCTCACATCGCAGTCAGAGAGAGAGATTTGTTTGTCAGTCAGTGAGGGTGTGTGTGTGTGTGTGTGTGTGTGTGTGTGTGTGTGTGAGAGAGAGAGAGAGAGAGAGAGAGAGAGAGAGAGAGAGAGAGAGAGAGAGAGAGAGAGAGAGAGAGAGAGAGAGATTTAGATGGGTGTGAGAGGGGGCCTAAGTGAGGCCCTACATCTCTCTTCACACCGCGAACTCGGCCGTCCATACCGGCTGGCGGGCGGCGCGCTGCTTGTCGTGAAGGCCCGGCGGGGCGCTGCTTGTCGTAAAGGCCCCGGCTGGCGCGCTGCTTGTCGTAAAGATCGAGCTGCTGCCATGTGGGCAAAGATCAGTGCCGCGTCGGTGAAGCAGGTCCGCTTTGCTCGCCCTGGGCGTGGCGAGCCCAGAACGCCCTGTCTCTGAACCGACCGGCCTCCTACGCTGCAGGAGAAGGCCGTCAACGTGATGCAGGTTGATATGCTGCAGCTCGGCGTGCTGCAGACGCAGCTGGATAACCTGTCGCTGCAGGCCAAAACGATGAGCACCCCACGACTCACCCTCACCTCTCGCTTCACAGATCAGCATCCCCACGACTCGCCCTCGCCTGTCGCTTCACAGATCAGCATCTCCACCCGCCCTGCAAGCCTGTTCGCGGCCCGCGCAGGCCATGCTGATCATTGGGTTTGCGCTCGGGATGTGGGCGGGCGAGACGCTCGAGCCGCTGCTCGAGGACGAGTCACAGATCTGCATCTGGAAGACATGGTACCACATGCTGTTTGCGGCCGTCTTCTTCCTCTGCGTCGCCCTCTGCATCTCGTGCGGCCTCGTCGTCGTCTCGTTTGTCTTGTACATCAAGCAAGCAGCCCAAAAGGCGGCATTGCTCGTCTCGACCAGCGCCGCCGTCGCAAAGACGCGCGAGCACCTCGGCATGCTCTACTACGTCTTCGTGGCAACCTACCTTACCTTCACGCTCTCCGCGGTGCTGCTGATCATTCTCTTTGTTGGCCTCCCCGCGAGACTGCCCATCTTGCTCTCGAGCGACGCTGCAGAGAGCGAGCTCGAGTCAATCGTCGAGCAGTACGACGGAAGCTACACCATCACCTGCGTCGACCCACGCGAAACGGGCCAGAATGCACGGCGCGACCTGTTCGGTGGCGTGCTCTGCAGCATGAACACCCTCGTCGTGGCGAGCATGGCAGTCGCGGCGTACCACAGGTTTCGATGCGTTCGCCGCTCCTACGAGTCCGCCGCTCTCCTGAGCTGGTTTGTGATCTATCAAACTGAGCAGAGGGCGAAGCACGACGCCGTTCAGAATCTGCCAGCGCCGACGAATGCGGTCAGGGTCGACAGCAGGAGCGAGGTCGACTCGACCGCGTCCTCTCGCCCGACCGACCCCGCCAGGTAGTGCCCAGTTAGGTGAGTTTAGGACAGAGAGATTTGCTTATTCAAAAGCGGGGACGCAGCGTATACTCCGCTCGCATGCCTCCATCTCCCATTAGTCACTCCCTAATCGGACTCACACACGTCAGCCCTGTCGACTGATCAAGCGGCGCTGCTAATGCGTTGGCTGATCCGCGACCGGCCCTGCGACGCGGACGGCATTGGCGGGCGGCTCGCTGCGCCAAAGACCGGGACGAGTCGCTGGTGCAGCTCGCGGATCGGGATCGGGTCCTCCTCCGCTCGCTTGGCCAGGTCGGAAAAGTCGACGGTGTCGTAGGCGTTCTGCAGGTGGTCGAGCTCGGCGGCGTTGACTTTGCCGTCCTTGTCGAGGTCGATGTTGAGCGCCAGGAAGGTCCACACCTTTTGGAGGCGAAGGCGCGTGGCGGGGGGCCGGTGGGAGTGCGAGCGGGCGGCGAGCAGGGACGCTGCGGGCTGGAGCCACCTGCCCCCGGACGAGCGCGGCGTGCCGCTCGTTTTCCGCCTATGGTGCGAGCCCCGGAGAGCCGGGTCAGACGTGCCGCGGAGAGACGGAGCGCACACGCGGCGCGAAAGAGTCCTCGAGCGTGCTCAGTTTGGAGTGCAGCTTTTCGAACCACTCGTCGCCCTGCGAGCCGAACAGGCCGATCGAGGTCTGGAGCAGCGTCAGGTTGTGCTCGAGGCCGCGGTTCGACTCGGCCAGCTTTGCGCTCTCGTCTTTGAGGGTCTCGTTGTGGTCGCGCAGCAGCTTGGCGGACGCCTCGATCGACTGCCGCAGGCGCAGTTCTCGCAGATTGTTGGCCAGAAGCACCGACACGATCGCCAGGGCGAGGTCCGCGTCGCCACAGATGACGCCGTCCCACCCCTCCATCTCGAGCAGCCGCGCTGGCAGAGGCGGGAGGGTAGCTCAGCTCGCGGAAGGAGCGCGTCCGCGCGGGGCTCTGGAGGGCCGCGCGCGCCTCCAAACGTCCACCGGGCGATCCAGTAGACGAACGCCGCAAAAGCCAACGCGAATAGAGCCCATGACGCGAGAGATGTCTGGCTGTAGCACTGCTGGACTTTGCGCATGAGCTGGGCATTCCGCCCCATGACGTTGTGCATTCCTCGGCTGTACAGCGGGAGGCTGCCGCCCGAGGGGCCCTTGTCCTCCTTGGAGAAGGACTCGGAAGCCGGCAGGAGCGGAGCGGCGAGGTGTGGAGAGAGCGGCTTCGGCATGGCGACGACCGAGTTCGGGCGAGGCGGACGTGCGTAAGATGTTCATACCCGACTCCAAGTGCCCAAGGTGACCAGTACTAGGTGATGGGTCCGTACCTACGAGTGGCAACTTTATGAATGAAACCCGATGGCAGGCTGCGGCGGCGGCCGGCGCGCGGGGGACAGGGGCGGTGGCGCACCGCGGCCAATCGAGGCATCGTTCGTGCGAGAGAGAGAGTGCAGCGCGACGATGTTTGCCTCTCCCGGCGCCGCCCGCTGTTCTTCTGCTGGCGTGGAGGTCGCTGCGTTCACGGCTCTTGCGTCCTCCCTCTCTCCGACTCCCACGCCCCTCTCTCTCCACCCCTGTGGCCTCTACCTCTCTGACTCCGCCCTGTCCCTTATTCCTCCTGCTCCTCCCCCTCCCTCTCCCTCCCTCTGCCTCTCCCTGTCTCGCCTCCCTCTTGCCGCGCGAGAAAGAAACCCGTTCCGCTCCTCCCTCTCCCTCTCTCTCCCACCGCGGCTCAACCCTAGGTCTCTCACGACTCCATGAACATCTACCGCTACACGAACAACGACAGGGTCCAGTGTGCGAAAGGAAGGAAGGACTGTCGGTCTGGTGTGTGTGTGTGTGTGCGTCAGAGACCCCACTGGTGTGCAGCCGGGCTCGTGCGTCGGACAGCTGTCAGGCTGTCGGACCAACATCTGACAGCTATCACATGGTTGTGTGACCGTGAGACTGCTGGGGCAGCGTCTTCCTCCCCATCCATCCATCCACCTCTCTCTTCTCTCTTTGTGACCTGTATGAACGAGCCGCAGGCGCAGCTCTCAAGGCGGAGCTCTGGCTCGCTCCAGATCGCAGATGGGGCTCGCGCCTCGCGTTGCCCCTAGGTTGCCCCGTGGAGCACTTCGAGTTCGGCTGGCCCCTGCCTGCCCGCACCTTCTGTGCGTGCCGCGGGGACAGAGCAGAGAGGACCGCGAACTGGGTCGGCACCAACGCCTGCTCATTTCTTTTGCGCAAGAGCGGCAACCAGGGCGCCAGAGAAGAGCGGGCGCCGCCAGCCAGGTACCAGCTCAGCGCCTTGCCGTGCGGCGCCTCGCTGCTCTCTCCTGCTCGCCGCCTCGAAGCGTCTCGCTGCGCAGCGCCCCGCGTCGCTCCGTTCGGCCTCCGACCCGGCCCGCGCCCGCCGCTCCCCGCGCCGCAGGCGCTGCACATCATGAATGCTCAGGTCATACAGCTCGAGGATGGCTGGAACAAGCTGAAGACGGGCGGCGTGCTCAAGATCGAGGAGATTCTCGAGGATGCGTCGGGCGGCGTGTACAAGCACCGGATAAGCACCGACGAGTACTCGCAGCTGTACACGTGCGCGCTCCCGCCTCTGCGCCCTGCGCCGCCTCAGCAGCGCGCGGCGCGGTTCGCGCGCTCGAGCTTCGCCCCGGCCTCGGCTGTGCGCAGGACGGTCTACACCATGTGCACGCAGAAGCCGCCAAACAACTGGAGCGAGCCGCTGTACAACAACTATTGCGAGGCTGTCATCGACTACTTGACTGCGCGCATCCTGCCGCGCATCAAGGAGAAGCATGACGAGGCGATGCTGCGGGTGCGACGCCGCGCACCCCGCCGGCCCTCGCTTCCCGCGACGCGCATTCGCGCGCGCCGCTCTCTCGCTGCGTCGCGCCGAGCGCTTGTGCCGCGGGTTGCGCAGGAGCTGGTGCGGCGCTGGGAGAACCACAAGACGATCATCCGCTTCCTCTCGCACGTCTTCAAGTACTTGGTGCGCGCCCCACCGCTCCCTTCGCCGCCGCGCTCGCCCCGTGCGGCGGCGGCGCACGGGCCGAGCCGCGCGCCCTCCGCCGCGCGCGCAGGACCGCTTCTACGTGAAGCGGCTGTCGCTGCCTGAGCTGGCAGAGGTAGGGTCGCAAAAGTTCCTCGAGATCGTCTTCAACGCGGTGAAGCGAGAGGTGCGGACGGCGATCCTGGAGCTGGTGCGGCGCGAGCGCGAGTGCGAGCAGGTGGACAAGCAGCTCATCAAGTCGGTCATCGACATCTTCGTCGAGATGGGCGGCTCGCGCGCCTCGCTCGAGACGTACGCGACCGACTTTGAGGAGATGCTCCTCTCGACGACCGCGGACTACTACTCGCGCGAGTCGGCAAAGTGGGCGGGGAACGACTCCTTTCCGGAGTACATGCGCAAGGCCGAGGACCGGCTCAAGCAGGAGCAGGACCGCGTGGCCAACTACCTGCACTCCTCGACCGAGGAGAAGCTGCTCAAGGTGTGGCCAGACCGCGCCACCAGACACGCCCGCACCCATCGCACGTCCCCCGCGGGCGGGAGCCCCCTCCTCGGACCGCGGTCGCCCCTCCCCGCGCCGTCCGTGCGCCGCGCGCCGCGCGCCGCGCGCCACCGCCGCCCCGCCCGCCCGCTCCAGGTGTGCGAGGAGCAGCTGCTGCAGAACCCGGAGCAGCAGCTGCTCGAGAAGGAGCACTCCGGCTGCGAGAAGCTGCTGCTCGACAACAAGACGGAGGACCTGTCGCGGATGTTCCGCCTCTTCTCGCGCATCCCCACCGGGCTGCCGCCGATCGCAAACATCGTGCGCAAGCACATCACCGACGTCGGCCTCGCGCTCGTCAAGAAGCAGTCGGTCAACGCCGAGGGCGACCTGATGCCGTACGTGCAGGAGCTGCTCGACATCCACGACAAGTACACCGAGCTGGTGGGGTCGGGGCCCGAGAAGGGGTGCTTCCAGGGGCACAACATCTTCCACAAGGCGATGAAGGAGGCCTTCGAGGTCTTCGTCAACAAGGACATCGGCAAGAGCGCCACCGCAGAGCTGCTCTCCAACTTTTGCGACAACCTGCTCAAAAAGTCGGGCGAGCGGCTCTCGGACGAGGCGCTCGAGGACAAGCTGGAGAAGGTGGTGCGGCTCTTTGGCTACCTGTCCGACAAGGACATCTTCGCCGAGTTCTACAAGAAGCAGCTCGCGAAGCGGCTGCTGCTGGCGCGCTCGTCGAGCGACGACGCGGAGCGCTCGATGATCGCCAAGCTCAAGCTGCGGTGCGGCGCGCAGTTCACCTCGAAGCTGGAGGGCATGGTGACCGACATGAACCTGTCGCAGGACATCCAGTCCGCCTTCGCCGAGCACGTCAAGGACAAGGAGCTCGAGCTCGACACCGACCTGACGGTGCAGGTGCTCACCACCGGCTTCTGGCCCACGTACAAGTCGGACGAGCTCAACCTGCCAAAGGAGATGCTGCAGTGCATCGAGACCTTCAAGGCCTTTTACGACTTGCGCACCTCGCACCGCCGGCTGCGGTGGGTGCACTCGCTGGGCTCGGCGACCGTGGTGGGCAAGTTCACGCCCTCGGGGAAGAGCAAGGAGCACGACCTGCTCGTCTCCACCTACCAGGCCTGCATCCTGCTGCTCTTCAACGAGGCGGACTCGATGACCTTCTCCGACATCCAGGGCCACCTCAACCTGCCCGCGGAGGAGCTCAAGCGCTACGTGCTCTCGCTCTGCGTCGGCAAGTACAAGATCCTGACCAAGGATCCGGCCGGCAAGGAGGTCGCGCCGACCGACAAAATCACCTACAACGCTGCCTTCTCTGACCGCGCGCGGCGGATCAAGGTGCCGATGATCGCCGCCAAGATCACGCAGGAGGAGAAGGACGCGACGCGAGCCACCGTGGACGAGGACCGCAAGCATGCCATCGAGGCGGCGATTGTGCGCATCATGAAGACGCGCAAGGTGCTCCACCACCCTTTCCGCCCGCCCCTCGCGCCGCCGCCGTGCCCACCCCCCCTCTCGCCGCCGCCCGCCGCAGTCGCTCGACCACCAGAAGCTCGTGCTCGAGGCTTCGACCCAGCTGATGCGCCACTTCAAGCCCGACCCGAAGCAGATCAAGTGCGCCGCCCCCTCCGCGCGGCCCGCCCGCCGTCGCGCCGCCCGCCCCGAGCGCCGCGCCTCCTCGCCCCCGCAGGAAGCGCATCGAGGACCTCATCCACCGCGAGTACCTGGAGCGCGATCCCTCCAACCCCAATCTGTACAAGTACCTGGCCTGAGGGGAGGGGAGGGGGCTCGATCTACCGCTCCCCGCTCACGCCCCCTCCGCGCCTGCTCGCCCGCCGCGCCCTCCGCGCCCAGACGAGGCGAACGAGCCGCGGGCGCGGGGGAGGCGGTGGGCCGCGGAGAGGAACGTGACTCTTGTGTTCGTATGTGTCAACGCGCGCCGCTCTAGTTATGTACAGGGTGCGGCCATGTCAAAAAACCAGGCGACCGGTTTCGCGGGGAAAGCAGCTGTCAATCACACAAGACCACACGTGCTCTTTCTTCGCGCCGCTATACGCGTGTCTCTCACTCTCGTCTCTCTGCTGCGCTCGCGCGCCGCGCGCTCTCACAGGTCTAGGTCTCTCCTAGGTGTACCGTACGCCGCACATACCCCCCGCGCCCTGGTGCGCGGCGCGGCGGCCTCCCCAACGCACCGCGCTCCTCCTCTACGCGCCCCACAGCTCGCACAGCTCGCGTAGAGGAGGAGCGGCACTCGCCCTCCATGTCTTAATCCACCTTGACAGCGCCGTAAATCTGGAGCACAAACCACCACGAGGCGACGAAGCCGATGGTGCCCGTGGTGACCCCAAAGAGGAGCGAGCAGATGAACATGTACGAAAAGTAGAGCATCGTCGAGACGAAGCCCATGATTTCGAGCGTCGACGAGAAGTAGACAAACGAGTAGCCGAAGAGGAAGAGGCCGGCGGAGCCCGTGTTGAGGAAGGAGCGCCACTGCCAGAGGTAGTTTTCGTTGCAGAGCTGGAAGTAGCAGAGCACGATGGCCATCTCGGCACAGGTGATGATGAGGATGAGCAGCACGAGCGCCAGGAAGCCAAACACGTAGTAGAAGCGCTGCAGCCAGATGGAGGACATGATGAAGTAGAGCTCGATGAAGACGGCGCCAAACGGCAGGATGCCGCCGATGAGCATCGTGAAGAGGGGGTGGAGGTACCAGGCCTGGGAGGGGATGACGCGCGGGACCATGTTGGTCTTGACGGGCGGGTCCTTGAGCGTGCCGCGGTAGCCGAGCCAGACGCCCACCCAGACGAGAGGGAAGGAGATGAGGAACCTGCGCGTGCGGCCGCCGGGCGGGGTCGGGGCGAGGGCGGGGGCGGGGCGGGCGGCGAGGGCGAAGAAGGCGGCGGCGGGGCGTGCGGCGCCATATGCACAGCACGGCAAACATGGTTCCGAAGGGGACGGCGCCGGAGGAGTGCTGTCCCCAGATGAAGAAGTTGAGGACGAACATGACTCCGAGCACGATGCCGGGGAAGAGGAAGGCGGTGAGCAGCGTGAGCGACTTCCACTGCGCGCCCTTGAAAGCCTTGTAGGCGAGGGCGGCGCAGTAGCCGGCGGCGACGCCCATCAGGGCGAAGAGCAGCAGCGAGACGGTCAGCATCGATCCGCGGTTCGCGGGCGAGAGGAAGCCGAGCATCGCGCACGCGATCGAGATGAAGGACATGCAGAGCACCTGCATGCCCGTCCCGATCGTGGTCGCGAGCCAGGCGGCGAGCGGCGGCGGGCGGAGGACGTCGGCGTGCACGAGCTTCCAGCCCGACTCCTCGAGCAGCTCCTCCTTCTCCTCCACCGAGTTGTACTCCGCCAGGTCCCGCCGCAGCGTCCGCACCATAATCATCGCGACGATGCCCGACAGCAGCAGCACTATCACGAGCGAGTTCAGGATGGAGAACCAGTGGACCTGGTCGTCGCCCATGTAGAGGTAGAGGTCCCAGCGGCTCGCCCACGCGATCGGCGAGTGCTCCCACACCACGTCGTACGTGTACACGATCTCGTTCGACCACGCGAGCATCGGAGCGAGGTCGGGACGGAGCGGCACCGACGTCAGCTTTGGCGACTTTTCGTCCCACTGGCCTTCGTAGGTGTGCTTGACCTGCGGGAGGGAGGGTCGCTCGCTCGGCGGCGGCGCGCGCCTCCCCGCAGCCTCCCCCTCGCGCGGTGCGCACCGAGTACGCCTCGACCTCGAACCCCACGATCCTGCTGCCCGGAAAGGTGTCCGAGCGGTGGTACTTGACGATGAAGCGGAGATGGTTGTTGACGTAAGGCTTGGTGGGCTCGGTGCCGGGGATGTCCTTGGAGCCGAGGAAGCCGAGCCGGAAGCCACGGTCGTACATGTCCTTCTTCGTCCCGTCCGCCATCTCGGCGATCATCTTCGTCGCCGCCGGCAGGTTGTCCATGATCAGGTGGACGCGGTAGTCCTGCCGCACGCGCTGCGAGAGGGTGATCTTCTGCGCCTTGGTGAGCTCGACGCGGCAGGCGATCCGGAACTCGGAGCGGCCCATGAAGACCTCGTACGGCGAATTCTGGATCACGGCGCCGTGCAGCACCTCGCCCAGGTTCTCTGCCTGCTTGACTAGGTTGTCGGGCCGGCAGAAGGGGAGGGAGTAGTAGTCGAAGGGTAGGTGGGTGCGCGGGCTCGATAGCTTGTGCACGCGGATCTCAACCTTGTCCGAGTCCATGTAGTCGCGCGGCGCCACCCCAGGCAGGTAGAAGGCTTGCGCCGATGCGATCAGCGCCAGAGCGCGCTGAGGGCCGGCGGCGCAGGGGCACGTGAGCATTGCCGACGCGCCGTGTGAGAACGGATGGCAGGCTGCGGCGGCGGCCGGCGCGCGGGGGACAGGGGCGGTGGCGCACCGCGGCCAATCGAGGCATCGTTCGTGCGAGAGAGAGAGTGCAGCGCGACGATGTTTGCCTCTCCCGGCGCCGCCCGCTGTTCTTCTGCTGGCGTGGAGGTCGCTGCGTTCACGGCTCTTGCGTCCTCCCTCTCTCCGACTCCCACGCCCCTCTCTCTCCACCCCTGGCCTCTACCTCTCTGACTCCGCCCTGTCCCTTATTCCTCCTGCTCCTCCCCCTCCCTCTCCCTCCCTCTGCCTCTCCCTGTCTCGCCTCCCTCTTGCCGCGCGAGGAAGAAACCCGTTCCGCTCCTCCCTCTCCCTCTCTCTCCCTCCGCGGCTCGCTCCACGCTCGCGCCCTGCGCGTGTGCGGGCGGAACCCTAGGTCTCTCACGACTCCGTGAACATCTACCGCTACACGAACAACGACAGGGTCCAGTGTGGCGATTTTTAGCAATACCAATGTTTTGTTGCCAGTGTGCGAAAGGAAGGAAGGACTGTCGGTCTTGGTGTGTGTGTGTGTGTGCGTCAGAGACCCCACTGGTGTGCAGCCGGGCTCGTGCGTCGGACAGCTGTCAGGCTGTCGCACCAACATCTGACAGCTATCACATGGTTGTGTCAAACTGGTGTGACCGTGGAGACAGACTGCTGGGGCAGCGTCTTCCTCCATCCATCCATCTCCATCCACTCTCTCTCTCTCTCCACAGGTTTGGTGCGTTAACGTTAACACGGTGTTCATATACGTTAACGGCTAACACCTTAGCCACAGAGGCGTTAAAACGTGTTAACACCGCCCCTCGGGAGGTTGATACGTCTCGATTGTCGTCTGCTGTTACTAGAGAGGTTGGGTGTTGTTGCACTGGCCACTGCAGAGTGGACACGGTCGGTACTGCAAGTATGGGCACTGCCGTCAAAACCATGACCTCCTACGAACCTGGATAGCTAGTGGTTGTGAGACCAGAGCTAACAGATAGATTCAAAGAGCCACAGCGGGTGAGCATTCACACGACCTTCGAGACGCAATGTGGTTCCACATTGTCTTTGACCCGGTGCCGGCTAGCCATCGAAATGAGATTGAGCGACACCATTGGGCAGTGGCCAGTGCCTCCAGGACTGGTCGGGCAAGTATATCTCGTCAAGTGAGCCACCGTGCGATTCGTGTGATGATTCCTGACAATCCTCTCAACCAGCTTTTGTCACAGTTCCCAGTCTGAGAGGAAGTGCAGGGGTCAGTCGACAGTTGGAGCTGTGTCGCCGGCGCGCGGTGGCCTGCCTCCTGGCGCTGCGTCACAGCCGCCTTCTTCCACGCGTGGGCAGTACATGGTCCAGTGCGCGTATTGAGCAGACAGTGCCGCCGCAGAGTGTATTGACGCGGATCCAGGTATTTCTCGGGTATACCCGGACTTTTGCAGGTATGCCCGGGATTTACCCCGAGGACACACCGTGTTAACGGCTGTGTTAACGCCTGTTTTGGAACTGCCGTTCAACTGTGTTAACACCGACCTTTGCACCAAGTGTTGACCACAGTCTGTAGTCAGTGCTGCCCCTGAGGTGTGTGTTAATGTTAACGCACCAGCCCTGCGCTCTCTCTTCTCTCTTTGTGACCTGTATGAACGAGCCGCAGGCGCAGCTCTCAAAGCGGAGCTCTGACTCGCTCCAGATCGCAGATGGGGCTCGCGCCTCGCGTTGCCCCGTGGAGCACTTCGAGTTCGGCTGGCCCCTGCCTGCCCGCACCTTCTGTGCGTGCCGCGGGGACAGAGCAGAGAGGACCGCGAACTGGGTCGGCACCAACGCCTCCTCATTTCTTTTGCGCAAGAGCGGCAGCGGCAGAGACCAGGGCGCCAGAGAAGAGCGGGCGCCGCCAGCCAGGTACCAGCTCAGCGCCTTCGTGCCGTGCGGCGCCTCGAGCTGCTCTCTCCTGCCGCCTCGAAGCGTCGCTGCGCAGCTCTCTACACTCTAGTCTCTAGACTCTAGCGGCCGCAGAAGAGGCCAGAGGCAGAGCCGAGACGCGAGAGCTTCGCGCCGAGTTAGGTAATGGTATGATTCTTTAGATTCTATTCTTGTCTCAGATATGTTGACACGCGACAATCGACATGCTGGTGTTCTCGCCGAGGTGAGCTACAATGAAAGTCAGCTACCACAAACGCGCGGCCGGTCCATATCGCGGTCGAGACTCGAGTGGCACTGTGGGGCCAAGGCAAGCGAGACAGCTCCGCAGGAATCTCTCGAGCGCCACCCGCATGGGAGAGGCGCGCGCAGCGAAGAGAGAGACGAGATAAGGCGCAGCCGCCAGCTCTCGGCCCGCGAGGAGAATGCACGGGCCATGCAAGTCCGAAGTGAGGCAGGCTCGGAGACGGCCCGGGCGGCCCTTGGCGCGCTCCGGCACTCTAGCTCAGACCAGCTCGAGGGCCGAGCGGTCTGTGGCCCCCCCCGCACTCATCGCGCGGCGGCGCAGCTCGTCGGTTGAGAGGCCGGGCGACTCGAGGCGGAGCGCGTCGAGCGCGTCCTCGTGGCGCAGCTCGGCCGGGGAGAGCGCCAGGCCCTTAAGCGCCTGCTCGACGGCGTCGGAAGAGAGCACCGAGCGGAGCTCGGCCGAGCAGAGCTTGCAGGGCTGCGTGGCCGCGGGCGCAGCGGCACTCTCCTTGCTCCCGTCGCCATTCTCGGCGTCAGCGCTCGACTCGTACTCGCTGGCGGTGGAGACCGACTCGGAGAGCTTGACGGTGCTAAGTACGGTGCTGCGCGCCGTGGCGGGGGCTCCCTTGGCAAAGCCGGATAGGTCGATGACGTCGGCGCCGCCGTAGCCCTCCGGCGGGAGGACGAGCTGCGGGTTGAAGCGGCCGAGCGCCCGGGGGCCAAGAAGCGCTCCGCCCTGAGCAGCAGGGGAGGGCGCGGTTCGCGGTGACAATGGGTGGGGCGACGATGGCGAGGCCACGCGAGGCGCCGCTCACGCCTCGTCGGGCCAGTAGAGCAGGGCGCAGAGGCAGGAGGATGCGACGATGGCGAGGCCCATCTTGATAAAGGAGTCGTCGGTGCGCGCGTCGGACGACGCGAAGAAGGCGGCGGTCGTCACGACCGAGCCGAGGTTGCCGCCCGCGCCCACGATGCCGGAGACGACGCCGAGCGCCGACCGGCTCACCTGAGGCACGATGGCGTACGTGCCTCCCTCGGCCATCTGCACAAAGATCGAAAAGACGGAGAGGAGCAGCACGCAGCGGCCGGCCGTGTTTGAGGCCGGGATCTCCTCGAGGGCCATGCCACTCGTCGTCAGGCCGAGCAGGCAGCAGAAGACGCCCTCGAGCGCCTGGCTGATCCAGAGGCTCCAAATGCGGCCCGGCATGCCGAAGCGCTTCCCGAGCCAGTCCGAGGCGATGCCGCCGAGCGAGCGTGCAAAGAGGTTCCTGCAGCGAGCGCGGGGGTGAGTGACCTATGGCCGTCTCTGGGTGAGCGCGGCCGTCTCTGGGTGAGCGCGGCTGGCTCTGGAGAGTGCGCGCATGAGGCCGAAGCACGAGGCGAGCGCCCCCGCGAGCTTGACCGACAGGCCGTGGTACTCGAAAAAGTAGGTCGCCGCCTGCGCGGGGCCGGGCGCGGCTGAGTGTCGCGTCTCGCGGGGCTCGTTGCTGAGAATGGTGGCAGTAATAGAGGGCCGCCGCCGCCTCGTTGGTGACGGTCAGCTCGACGCCGAACGACATGCCGTAGAGCACGCAGAGCAGCCAGCCGTTGAGGTTCGAGAAGCCAACCTTGAGGACGACGTCCGAGCGCGACTTTTGCTTGGCGCCCGAGAGCTCGAGCTCGTCGACGTTCCCGTCGGGCAAGTCGCGGCCGGTGAGCGTGGCGAGGCCGGTGCCGAAGTGGAGCAGGGCCGGGAGCCAGAAGCAGAGCCGCCAGGCCGCGTCGTTGTCCCCCGGGGCGAAGGAGTCGCGCACGGCGAGGAACACGAACGGCATCGCCAGGTTGGTGATTCCGCCGCCGAGGTTGCCCCACCCTCCGGCCGTGGCGTTGGCCAGGCCGACGATCGGCTTGCTGAACATGACACTGACCCACGCCTGCGTGGCGCGGAGAGGGCGGCGGTGCAGTGAGGGGACAGGGGGGCGGCAGATTGTGTGACTATGGAATTAAGGTTGCCTACTACCTTGCATGAGTCGGCTGTGGGGAGAGAGGGAAGGGCCTGGCAGGCGACGAAGGAGGCGAGGCTGATGCCGATGAGCCCGCGGCACACGATGAAGCCCGTGGCGTCCTGCACGTACATCATGCCGAGAATGGGGAGGGTGGTGACCAGCAGGCAGGCCGCCATTCCCCGCCGGGCGCCAATCGTGTCAGCGACGAGCCCCATGATGAGGCGGAAGAAGATGGTGGAGCCTGAGATGGAGCCGAGGTCCTCGCTTGGGGTGGATATAGGGGCCAGATCTTGGAACTAAGGTTGCCTACGGCTACTATCCCCGAGGTGACAAGTGGTGAGAGTAGTACATACCGCCTCCCTGGCACGGAGTAGTATCGAGCTGAGATGTGGCCGAGAGTAGTAGAGCTCGCCTACACTCGCCATGCCAGCGACCGCAGCTTCGCGCTTCGAGATGCCGAGAGCCGGCTTGATGTACGGCATCAGAGGCGCGGGCGCAAAGGTGGAGAAGAAGGTGGAGAAGAAGCCCAGCCACGCGAGGTGGAATGCCCTCATGTGCGGTTGCGCCGCCGTCGTCACCTGGAGCACCGTCGCCTACAAAACAAACCCTGTCTGCACGTCTCGCGCGCGCGTGAACAGGGCTCCAGGCCCCAAATGACGTGTGAGTGTTAGAGTTGTTTGGTATTGCTAAAAATCTATCTCTCCGTCGCCTTGTGCTCGGCGTCCACGGGAAGCGCAAACTCACGCCCGACAATGTCAGAGACGCCGCGCGAGTTGAGGCCGTGGCGCTCACAGTAAGCGTGGAGCCGGTCGATCTCAGCCTCGAGCGCCGCAACGTCGGCCATGGCCACACGTTCTGACAACTTCGACATGCGTCCCGGTGGCGAGCTCGGTGGACGCGTACCCCGGGGGGGGTAAACCGAGCTTAATCCCGAGCCGCTCTTCACACCTTTGCGCTTCAGGCAAGAAGCAATGAAGACGAAAAAAAGAAACAACCAGGACACGCACACGGCCTGCGGGCCGGCGTCGTCTCGCAGGGCCGAACAGCCAGCGAACAAGAAACACAACCCCGCCATTGCATATTCTGAATTCTCGCGCGCGCGGCGTGGGCGTCCGTGTCGCGTGTCACTGTGGCCCGCGTGTGCCACACGGTGAATCCGTGTGCCCGGCCGGTTACCGCCGTGTCTGTGTTTGGTGTTGCCATACAAAACGCAACCCCACTCTCGCTCTCTCCCTCTCCCTCGGAGGACGTGTAGTCGTACGAAGAGATTAGGAGCAGCAGGCGGACCCGAGGGACCACATGTGGAAGACGGCTAGTGCTAGTCCCCCATCGGGAGGACGACCCCGGCTAGTCGCCGACCACACCCACAAAGAACCCTGCACAAAGATCGCAAGGGCGGGGACATGTTCCTTTTTACCCATCTCAACAGTAGAGAGGTGTCCGTTTTTATTTATTTATTTATTTAGGACGGCTTTAGAGGTGTCCCGTTTTTATTTATTTATCCCTCTCCCTCCCTCTCTCCATCTCTTCACAGCTGGAAAAGGGATTTGTCTGCACACACACACTTTTAGCTCGAGCGCGTAGCGGCCAACTCTCGGCCCACCGCTCCAGCAAAGCTTTATACTCAGCCTCCCCCCTTGTGTCTGCGGCGCGTGAGGTGCTACCCTCTCTCGCCTCCACCCCACTCGCCCCGCTCACGCGCCCCCTCCTTCCACCTCGCCGCGAACCGCCGTCTGCGTCACCGCCTGGAGGAAGGTCACGTTGGGCATTGGCTTGTCGCGGTGCGAGTTGGCCTGGCTGTACATGGCGCCAAAGTGCATGCGCCGCTTGCAGCAGAGCAGCGAGCGCGACAGCATCGCAGCCTGCCACGAGGAGAAGAGCGCCGAGACAAACGCGGACGTCAGCCCGCCGAGGTAAAAGTCGACCATCGCGCGCGTCCACGCGCCCGACGGGTCCGCCGCGCCCTCCTCGGCGCACCTGCCGCCGCCGGAGGCGTCGCAGAGCACCGTGCGCGAAGTGTGGCCGATCGGGCCGATGGCGGCGGTGTCGACGACGCGGCGCGCAAAGAGCGGCAGCGCGCGCGCAAGCGAAGGCAGGGCGGGCGAGTCGCCGAGCACGAGCAAGCCCCAGCTGCCATCGCTACCGCCCCTGCTGCCGCCGCCGCTGCCGCCGCCGGTGCCGCCGCCGCTGTTGCTGCCGCTGCCGCTGTTGCTGCTGCGGGCCGCGCGCCGGTCGGCCGCGCCCAAACGCTCGGCAAACCGCTCGCCGTATACGGCGGCGCACCCAAACGCGGCGGCGAGCGTGCCGTTGGAAGGGGCGCGCAGCGCCGGTGGCTCCCCGTCGCCGCAATCGCGTGTGGCGTCGGCGAGCGTGGGCGAGCGGTGCTGCCGGTTCCTCCAGTTGAAGCACGGCCCGCCACGCCACGCCGGGTCGGTGCAGTCGAGGAGAGCAGACTCGAAAGTGCGCCACTGCGCGGGGAGGGACATGCGCGGCGCGACGGCGGCGGCGCTCGCCGAAGCGTCGGCCACCGTCGCGCCAGACCGATGGCGGCGCGTGTTGAGGTACGACCAGTCGGCGTAGCCGGTCCGCAAGTGCAAGCCCACCGGGAACTCGAAGCGGCTCAGCTCTCCGAGCGCGGGAAGCATCGCCGCCTGCAGCCGGCGGCGCGGCCGGAGCATCGCGTAGTTCGCGCACAGCGGCAGCTGGCGCGACGTCCGCCGGCTGGCGGATTGGCGAGGCATCGCGCGCACGGGCTCCGCCCACGGCGCCGTCGACAAAGAAGAGGCAAGCGCCGGCGCGCCCGCCGCCGCGCCCGCCTTTGGCGAAACCGCCGGACGCCACATTTCCTTGGCGCCCCTACTCAGACGAGAGGGCTTCGTGTCGAGGCGTCTTTGAGCAAAGCGTGGCGGTCATGGCCGAACGCCTGTCACGAATGCCGCCCGCAGCGCCGCCCGCAGCGCTGCCCGCGGCGCCGCCCGCAGCCGCGCCCCGCGAGTCGGAGCTGGGGGTGCACGCGCCGGCGCCGCCGAAGGGCAGGCTGTACGGGACCGCCGACCCCGTGCTCCACGCGGCGCGGCGGCTGCTCTGCGGCCAACCTGCAAGACACTCATGAGCCGATTGATCACTGATTCGACCGCTGCTCTGACCAGCCCACCGGCAAGGCGGTCGCCCCGAGGGCGGGGCGGGGAGGAGGGGCGACTGGCTGGCTGGCGCGCCGTTTGCGGTGACGAGGGCGGCGAAGGGCTTGGACTGCTCGAAGGCGGTCTGCTGCTGCATCTCGAGCAAGATGAAGGGCTCCGTCCTCGTGGCCAGGAAGCCGACGATCAGCCCGTCCTTCTCGTCCTACAAAGGGGCACCTCCAGCGGTGGCGAAAAGGGAGGAGGGAGGGAGGAGCCCGGCCCCGCGTCGAGGCGCCTCGAGCGAGCCGCCCATGTGGACGGTCGGCCCGCCGAAGCGCGGCGGAGGAGCCTCCCGCCAGCCCGGCTCGGCGGCGGTGGAGCGGTCGGCAGGGCCGTACTCGATCCTGCACGGAAGGGGAGGGAGGGGTGGGCAGGAGAGGCGCGGCGGGGGGAGGTACGCTCTCGCGGCCGCCTCGGCGCCACGCACGCCCACGTGTGCCTTGCGCACGAGTAGCGAGCCAAGTACGGCGTCTGGCTCTCGTTGCGCGCGGCGAGCGCCCGCCGCAGCCGCCGCAGCGGCGCGCGGCCCCAGCGGTAATCCGCCCCAACCGCGCTGAAGAACTCGCCGAGGTCGAAGCGCCGGGGCCCCGCCCTCCGAGCCCGGCTGCCGCCGACCCGCGCCGCTCGAAGCGCTGACCCGCGCCGCACCTCGCCCGACTCGGCGCTGCTGTTTGAGCCGGGCCGCCACGGCTCGAAGCCTCCGTCCGACATCCACAGGAAGGTGGCGCGGCCGGCGGCGAGGCCGAGCTGGAGGACGGCGAGCCAGCGCGTGAGCGAGTTGCCCACGCCGTTCCACGGGAAGCGCATGTCGACCACAAGCACGCGAGACAGGTCCGCGTGCAGCGCGGCGCGGCGCGCCTCGATCCGGGCGGTGCAGAGGCACTCCTCCTCGTACCGGCCCCGCTCCCGCTGCACGAGCGGCGAGGATGCGAACTGCGGCAGCTGCGGCACCCGGCCGCCGGAGAGCAGCTCCTGTGCCGACCGAGCCGCCGCGACGCGCTCGAGGAGCCGTCGCTCGCTCGTCACGGCGTCGGCCCGGCCTGCGTCCCGAAGCACCCGCCGCTTCTTGTGCCGCGGCTTGGCGGCGGCCCGGCCGCCGGACCTGGCGGCGGTCCTGTCGACGTTTCGCTCCGCCAAAAGGCACACGCCGTCCCTGCGGACGCAGTCGCCACCGCATGGGTCGACCGCCTCGGCTCCCGTCTGCTTGTCTCCGCAGTCGCCGCAGCTTGGCGCCACGGCCGTTGCGCACGCGACCCCGTGCTTTGCTATCCACCGCTTGCTCATGGACTCCTCGTCTTCCAGCTTGGCGCCGAGGGCCAAGAGCTGCTTTGGCGACATGGTCGCGTACGGGTTGAGTTTCGCCCGGTCGCAGGAGAGGCCCTCCCACCGTGTCGGGCAGACGCACACGGGTGGGAAGCGGGCGTCCCGCCAACCGAAGCACCCGCCGCGGCCGCTGCACGAGGCGTTGCAGGCGGAGAGAGCGAGAGGCTGCATGTATATTGCGCTCCGCGGAGCAGCCTGGCGAGGAGTCGCGCCTTGCGGGCGCCTCGCCTTAGTTTGACAAAAAGAATTCATTTCAGCCAGCCCCAACTCCACTGGCGCTCTCATCTCATCACTCTAGCGCCGGCGCGGTTTTCTTTTTCGATGCGTGATAAGCAAGCACTGGTGCTCTGCAAGTCAATCGAGGCGAGGCGCGGCTGCCGGCCAAGCCCTACTCGGTGCTCTGCAACTGCTGGACGCGTCAAGCTCTACTCCTCCCGAAGCTTAGCCCGTGATGGGCTGCGCGTCCTCAACACCCGGTGGTGAGGCCTCGGCTCCTGCGCCTCGGCTCTCACAGCGCGAGCGCGAGCAGAAGAAGCCGTCGACCTGCGGCTCGCTGGTTTGGAATGATGTGGCACAGGGCACGCTGCAGCTGGTTTGGACGGAGAACGACCCGGTGCGAGTGTATTAGTCGGAGCGGTGTCGCTTCGTTGCGCCACCTATCCTTGACCGTATTGCCCCCACCCCCTCCGCCCGTCCTTGGGCCCCGCCCGCCCGATGCCCTTGGGCCCCGCCCGCCCGTGACGCCCGCCCGCCACCCCGCACCCTGGCACCCGGACGCAGGTTGAAGGCGCACTCGCCTTCTTCGAGACGGAGGCCAAGGTGCCGGCGTTCAAGCTGACTCAGAACTGCGGCAGGTCAGACATCATGAAGGGCTTGGGCGGGCCGAATAACACCAAGTTTTACCAGGCGTGGACGCAGTTCATCAAGCTCGCGCAGGCGTGGCCGGGCGAGTTCACGCATGTGCTAAACATGGACGCCAAGCCGCTCGCCATCTACACCACCACCGAGGCCATCAAGGTGAGCCGGATCACGCGCGGCGAGGCGGTGGACCTCTCGCAGGTGACGTGCGTCGCCATCGTGCCCGAGGCCTCGGGAGCGTACCAGGGCGTCACCTCGCTCGAGCTAGGGATGTTCAAGCAGAACTGCAAGAGCGGCGGCGGCGTTGTGCTGGACCTCGTGTCGAGCGCCAGGTCGAGCGCCCCGCCGTCGCCTGTCCATTCGAGCCCAGTGCCGGCCGCCGCTTGAACCTGTAGCTACCCGAGCTGGAACCTGTGTCGAGGGCACTCAGACCAACGTGTGCGCGCGCGCTCACATGACTATCGAGCCCGTCTCGTTCTGTCGTTGTGACTGAGATGGAACCGACCAGTCGCTTGCTTTGACCTTTGTTCTTTCGTGCAGTAAATTGTGAGTGTGGGCCATCATTCTCATTCTTCTGAGAGCGCCTGTTCAACGAAACAAACCGAAAGGCACAAACACACACTGTCACACACAGACATCCCGGAGTGGGCTGCATTTCAACGTTGCTTACCGTGGCGGCTCTCTCCGCTGGTGGCCGCGGTGCATGTTGGCGTGCACCCGGTGTCCCGTGTCCGTGCCAGTGCGCGCCAGTCGAGTCCCGCACCCACAACAATCTCTCTCTCCCAGTTCCGCGCCCGGTGTAATAAAAGGAAAGAAGGAAAACACGCGAACCCACGGGGGGATGGGAGAACCGCACAGGCCGCCACCACACAGGGATTTTAAGGAAAGGAGTGTTCCCTTGGGCGTCTGCCTCCTCCCCCCCTATCTCTCGTGACCTTCATGCCACCTCGCGGTCGTTCCAATCTCGTCGTAAAAAGAAAGAAACCACACGGGGGATGGGATAAAATAAATAAATAAAACGGGCACGCCAAACGAGGGGTGGGAGAAGGACAGGGATGGGAAATCTCTAGGGCGCCACAATTCTTTTTCCCATGTTTTCAGGGCTCGTATGATGATTGTTGGGCTCTCCGTTGCGACGGCGGCCGGCAGCAGCAACAAATGGCCGATCCGGGCGCCTCACGCGGACAAGGTCCCAGCCTCGTTCGACTGCGAAATGCGCAAAGCGGCCTACGACTACGGCCGGAAGCTGCTGCCCCGCTTGGGCTCCTTTGAGTCGCTCTACTACGCGCTTGGACTGAATGGACCGGGCTGCACGGCGCCGATGCGCGGCGCCGACGCAACGTCGCCCTTCCAGCCTGAGCCTGCGCCCTCGGGGAGCATCTTTGTCTCACCTGCGGGCGACGACGAGGGCGCAGGCACCGAGGCGACACCGCTGCGGTCGATCCAGCTGGCCTGCGACCGCGCCGCGGCGAGCGCCGTGCGCACCGTGGTGCTCCGAGGAGGGACGCACTTCCTCTCCTCCACAATCACGCTAAACGCCTCTCACTCCAACCTGCGGGTCATGGCGCACCCCGGCGAAGTGCCGGTCGTTTCGGGCGGGGTCGAGCTCAAGGTTGCGTGGAGGCCGCACGACGTGGGGCGTCGCAACGCCGCCAACGAGACGACCAACATTTGGGTCGCCGACGTGAGCGGGGTGGACGACATCCCGGGCCTGCAGATCGACGGCGTGCGCGCGACGCGGGCGCGCTGCCCCAGCCTGCCGGCCGGCATCTCCGCACACGAGCCGGCGCTGTTGAGCCTTCTCTGAGCCTTCGTGCAGGCGCGCTACCCGAACCTGCCGGGAGGGATCGAGGTGTCGCCCGGCTACGGCGGGATGGTCTCCGAGAAGGACGCCGACTGGACGCCGCCCGACTTCAACAAGTTCGGGCCCGTCCACTTTTACACGGACAACGCCAGTTCGCACGACCGCCCGAACGGCGGCTGGTTCGAGCACTACATGATTGGAGTGGGTCGGGCTCGGTTGGAGCGCGAGCCTCCTCTGCGAGGAGCGCCTCTTCACACCCCCTCACGCCGCGAGCAGGCGGGCTCTGCTCCGTCTACGACCCTCCCGTCTCGTACTGGTGCTCGCGCCACCCGTCTGGCGGAGGCGCCTTCGCCTTCCGCACGCCGTCGGGGGTGACGCCCAAGCCTGGCGCGCTGCCGCACGCGCCGTACAAGGACCCGTCCGGCGCCCGCTCCCTCGCGCGGAGGCACCTGCAGGGGCCCTCTCGGAGCGCCTCCGAGCTCGCCCGTAGGCCCCTCTCGCTTCGTCTGGCGGCTGCGACACACGGCTGCGACTCACGGGCGAGAAGGCCGCGAGTAGGCGCACTCTTCTTCGTGTGGCGGCCTGCGCGCTGGGCCAACTGGATGTTCGAGGTGGGCGCGTACAACGCCTCCTCCGGCAACTTCACGTTTGGCAAGGGCGGCAACCAGGGCGCGCGCGGCGAAAACCGCGGCGGCGACTTCTTCGTGGAGAACATCTACGAGGAGCTCGACGCGCCGGGCGAGTTCTTCTTCGACACGAAGGCGAAGCGGCTCTACCTCTTTTACAATGGCACCGGGCCGCCGCCCGCCGCCGCGTCGGTCGTCGCGCCTTCGCTCCGCACGCTCGTCAACATCAGCGCGTCGCGTTGGGCGCCGGTGCGCGCCGTCTCCCAGAGCGGCGCCCCCTCGCCCGCGGGCCGGCCCTGGACCGGCTCTGACGCGTCTGCAGGCGCGCGGCATCTCGCACAGCGGCGTCACCTTCCGCGCCGCGCGCTACACGTACATGGACCCGCACGGCGTCCCGTCCGCCGGCGATTGGGCGCTGGACCGCGTGGGCGCCGTCTTCCTGCAGGGCACCGAGGGGGTCCGATTCGACGCGTGCTCTTTCGAGCGGGTCGACGGGAACGCGGTGATGGTGTCGGGGTACAACCGCCACGCCGCCATCACCAACTCCGACTTCGCCTTCGTCGGAGGGAATGCGGTCGCCGCGTGGGGGTACACCAACGAGACGGCGTCGGGGCCCGAGCGGACCCGTGGCCCATGCATGACACGACCGTGACACGTCCGCGACGCGTCCCCTCAGGCGTCCGACCCGGGCAGGCCCGGCGAGCGGATCGAAAACTACCCGCACGCGGGGGTGGACGGGACAGACGGCAACCACCCGCGCTACACCACCGTCTCCGGCTGCAGCGCCCGCGAGGTTGGCCTCTACGAGAAGCAGTCGTCCTTCTTCGTGCAGGCCAAGACGGCGCAGTCGACGGCGCGCGGCGACGTCTCTTTCCAACGGGCCGCGGCGATGCGTCCACGACGCGTCCACGACGCGTCCCACGGTAGGTGAGCGGCAACGTCTTCTTCAACGGGCCGCGCGCTGGGATCAACGCCAACGACGGCTTCGGCGGCGGCGACGAGATCTCGCACAATCTCGTCTTCTCCACCTGCCGCGAGAGCGGCGACCACGGCCCGTTCAACTCGTGGGACCGCCAGCCCTTCCTCACGACGGTGCGCGACGGCAGCGCCTCGATGACGATGGCGTGGCGCGAGATCCATCACAACTTCTTCATCGACAACTACAGCCCGCAGGCCCGCCTCCTGCCACTTGCGACGCCGCCCTCACGCCGCCCCTCACGCCGCCGCCCACGCCGCAGGAGGATGTCGACAATGACGACGGCTCGGCGTACTACAAGACGCACCACAACTTCCTCGTCTACGGCGGGCAGGGCATGAAGAACGACTTTGGCGGCCACGACAACCACCACTACTCCAACGTGTACGCCTATGTCGGCCGGGGCCTCGGCGTGTGCTCGCAGCGGCCGGGGCACGAGGACCGCTTCTACGACAACAAGCTCGTCCTCACTGGCAACGACGTCGGCGGCTTCGCCTGCGACGGTGCGGCCAAGACGGTTGTGCACGACAACGAGTACTTCACCGCCAGCGGCTCCATCGCGGAGTGCAAGATGAGCCTGCCCGACTGGCAGAAGAGGGGCGAGGACAAGGGCTCCACCGTCGCGAAGCTGCCCGCAGACAAGGAGATCATCGGGTGGGCGCGGAAGCTCCTGGGCTTCTAGATCTAGCCCACCCGCTCGGCCCCTGAGTCGAAGGAGATGGTCGTTTCCCTGGCGTTTGGGGGTCCAAGAGAAAAGAATCAAAAAAGCGAGATGATGATTTGGACCCCCCGATTGGCTAGTTGGCTTGCCGCGATGCCGGCGGCGGCGCCCTAGGTCATGCCCCAGGTCATGCTCTGCGAGAATTCTTTCGCACCAAGAGACGAACTCTCGGGGGCGAACTCTCGCCGCTAGCTGCCCCGGCACACCTCGGGCGGTTGCGAACGCTCTGCCACCAATGGCATCCGCCCGCCACGACGGGCCCTCGACGCCCCGCGTGCTTTTGATGGGCGCGCGGCGCGCCGGTAAGTCGTCGATCCAGAAGGTCGTCTTCCACAAGATGTCCCCACACGAGACGCTCTTCCTGGAGCCGACGAATAAGCTTGTCAAGAACGACATTGCGAACTCCTCCTTTGTGCAGTTCGAGGTTTGGGACTTTCCGGGCCACGTTGACACCACCTCGGCCGCCGTCAAGCCCGAGCTCACCTTTGGCGGCTGCAGCGCACTCGTCTGGGTCATCGATGCGCAGGACGACCACGCAGAGGCGCTCGCGCGGCTGCAGGTAACGGCCGCCTGAGCGTGGGCCAGCCCTTGTGCTCGGCTGTGGCCAACCCACCCGCCTCCCTCCTCCAGGCCACGATAGGGACGGCGTACCGGATCAACCCGAGCATCGTCTTCGAGGTTCTCGTGCACAAGGCATTCCGCCCGCCACCGCCGCCACCGCAGCGCCGCCCGCCGCCCGCCCCTCGCGCCCAGCACACTGCCTTCCCAGCGCCGCCGACCGGCCGGACCTTCCCTCCGCCGGACGGAGGGCCACACTCTTGCCCAGGACACGTCCAGGACACGTCCCTCACACGCCCCCGACACCTGCCTGTCGCCGCCGCCAGGTGGACTCCTTCTCCGAGGACCAGCGGATCGAGTGCCAGCGCGAGCTGCAGGCGTCCCTCTGAGCGGCCCTTCCAGAGCCCTCTCCGATCCCTCTCGGACCCTTGCTCGACCCTCCTCGGACCCTCCCTGAAGGCGCACCTCTCCGAGGAGCTCACCGCCTTAATTAATTACTCTCCTGATCTAAGTAATATTAAATCTCCGAAGGCGCACCTCTCCGAGGAGCTCACCGCCGCACGGCTGCAGCACGTCAAGGCGCGTGGGAGGGAGGGGGCGGGTGGCGGCGGCGGGGGGGAGGTGAGGGCGAGGAGGGGCGACACGGAGCACCCACAGCCCTCCTCCCGCCACAGGTCAACTTTCACCTCACCTCCATCTACGACCACTCCGTCTTCGAGGCCTTCTCCAAGGAGCATCCCCCCCCCCCCCCCCCCCGACCCAGCCCCTCCTCGGCCCCTCACACACACACACACACACACACACACACACACACACACACACACACACACACACACACACACACACACACACGCACACGCACACACACCCTGGCCCCCCCGGCCTGGAGCAGGTGGTGCAGCAGCTCATCCCTCAGCTGCCCACCCTCGAGTCGCTGCTCGACATCCTCGTCGCCTCGTGCCGCATCGAGAAGGCACACACACACACACTCACACACACACACACACCTACCCACCCCCCTCTCGCGCCTTCTCCCCTCCCAGGCCTTCCTCTTCGACGTCGTCTCGAAGATCTACATCGCAACCGACTCGTCGCTGGTGAGATGCAGCCGAGATGCAGCCGAGATGCAGCCGAGATGCAAGATGAGCCTCACCCCGCGTCGCACCGCCGCACGCGCAGGTCGACATGCAGTCGTACGAGCTCTGCGCCGACATGATCGACGTCGTCATCGACGTCTCCTGCATCTACGGCGCGGCTGCAGCAGCACAGGCGGCAGACAGACTCGAGGTGTGCTCACCTCCGCCCTGCCTCGCTTCAGGCCTCGGCGAGGGGGCTGACGACGGCACTGGCTCCACCGCCTCAAACTGCGTCATCACTCTCAACAACGGCACCGCCCTCTTTCTGCGAGAGATGAACCGCTCGCTCGCGCTGGTCCGCTTGCGCCGCGAACCCCTCCTCGCCCCCCTCGCCCCTCCCCGCGCGGCTCGAGCCCCGCTCCTCCGCAGGTCTGCATCCTCAAGGAGTCTGTGATGCAGCAGCAGGGCTTGCTCGAGTACAACTGCGCCTCCTTCCGAAAGGCCCACCTCCCCCCCCTTTCGCCCTGCCGCTGCCAAGAGCCCATCGCCGCCGCATCTCGAGCCAGCACGCCACCGTCGTCTCTCAGGCGCTCGGAGAACTCTTCCGGCTGCCCAACCAGCCCAAGTGACGCGGCGACATCCGGACTTGGTTGGACAGCGAGACAGGTCGCGGGAGCCGGGAGGTCGTGGAGCTCGCGAGAACCGAGAACAACAACAACCCCCTCGGCCTCGCGACTCGCGCTGTTCTCCGTATTCCGACACCCACCTGCACAGCGCTACGGTGGAGGTGTCCTCTTTTCTGTTATTTGCATGTACAATAGAGACAAAAAAGGAGACTCAGCTGACAGAGGCGTCTGCCATCGCAGAGTCTCCTGCGTCGCTGGGCTCGCGCTCGGCACTTGCGGTGGCGGCGCCCGCATCGCCCTCGGGCTCAGCGGCTGGAGGGGCGGCGGCGGCGGCCGGCACATCCGCACCGGACAAAGGGGGCGGCAGCTCGGCCTTGGCCTCGGGCTTCACCGGGGGAGTACCGATAGCTGCCGCCCCGGCGGCGATCGCGGCTGCTATCGCAGCGTGCATTCCGGGACCACTCGGCGAAGCCCGCGCCTGCTGAGGCTGTTGCTGCGGCGACGGCGGTGTCTGCTGCGGTGGCGGCTGCGTCTGCTGCGGCGGCGGCAGTGACGCTTGCTGCTGCGGCGGTTGCGCCTGCTGCTGCTGCGTGAGCGGTTGCGTTGGCTCAGGCGGCTCAGGCGGCGGAGGAGGCTGCGGCGGAGGTGGCTGCGGCGGAGGTGGCTGTGGCGGAGGTAGCTGTGGCTGCGCGCTCGCGTGCGCCGCCGCAGCTGCGACCGCTGCCACGGCATCCTCCGGCTCGTGCAGCTGGCCAGCCGCGCTCCCGCTGTGCGCCGCGAGCGCCTTCTTCTTGTCCTTGCCGCCCTTGAGCTCGCGCGCCTTCTTGCCGCTCCTCGCCGGACCGGACCCCTCCTCCCGCTCGCGCTTGGCGCCGGCGGCGGCCTCCTCCTTGCCGCCGAGGCCGGGCAGCCGGTCGCGGTAGTTTGCGTAATAGTTCTTGCACTGCGTCGACGTCTTTGTCCCCACCTGCTGCGCGACCTGCGCCCACGCCGAGGTGCCGTGCCGCTGCACCGCCGCGGCGAGCCTGCTGCGCTCCGCGTCCGACCAGCGGTTCGAGGTGGCGCCGCTGGCGGGGAGCGGCGGCAGCGGCGGCAGTGCGGCCGCAGGCTCGGCGACCTCCTCCGACCCCTCTGCGCGGGAGGCGATGTCCGACTCCTTGTACGAGAAGTTGCGCGCGCGCGCGCGCATGCCCTGCCGGAAGGGGTTGGTGACAAAGTCCTTGTCGTTGACCGGCTTGGGCGCCTCGACGGCGCGCGCGGGCGTGATGGCCTGCACCTCGCGGAACGCACGCGGCGTCGAGCCGGGGCGGCGGCGCTGCGTCTTCAGCAGCGTCTTTTTGAGGTCGAGCTTGTACTTGTTGAGGTAGTAGAACTGGACGCAGTCGCCGGGCGACTTCCACTCGAGGAAGGAGGCAATCTTGCGGAAGTTCTTGGGGTAGGTGAGGTACTTTGCGGTGAAGAGGGCCTCCTCCTCCTCGCTCCACACCATCCGCTTCTTCCGCTCGCGCTCGTCCGCCATCACGTCCGGGATGACGCCGTTGCGCGGTATAAACGTCGGCGTGGCAGACAGGAGCGGCTCGAGCAGCATCGGCGTCGGGACCGCGCAATTGGCGCGGCACCAGTCGTCGTTGCGCTCCTTCTTCTCCTGCTCGGCGAGCTGCGCCAGCACTGCGTTCATCTCCTCCTCCGACCGCACGACGTCGAAGGAGCCGACCGTGCGGTTGCGGCTGGCGCGCCCGCCGCTGGCGCCGTCGTCGTGAGCCGTCTTGAGCGACTTGCGCTTCTCGCGCTCCCGCTCGCGCTTGGCCGTCGCGGTGTCCCACGCGCGCTGCAGCTGGGAGAAGCGCGCGCGGAGCTGCGCGTTCGTCTGCTCGAGGCCCTGCGCGCGCTCGCGCACCGCCGGAAGCAGCCGCCGCGCCATCTTTGCGCGGCTGGCGAGGTTGGCGCGGTACAGCGGCAGCTCGGAGGCGAAGACGGGCTCGTCGTTCCGCCCCACGCGGCCGCCCTCCTCGAGCCGGGCGAGAAGCGCCTCGTGCGACTTCTCGGCCGCCTTCGCGTTGCGCATGTAGAGCAGCTCGATCAGGTCGGGGATCGACATCGCCTCGCGCCGCGAGGCCGTCGATGACGAGCCGCCACCGTCCGCGCCGCTCGGGGTGCTCGCCTGGAGCGCCTTGGCCTCGACGAGGGCGGCGGCGCGCTGCGCGGCGGTACGCTTCGCCTCGGCGACCTCGATGATCTTCTCCTTCTCCTCGATCACCGTCTCGATGTCGTCGATCTTGCCCAGCAGCTCCATCTTGCTCGGCTTTGGCGCCGCCGGAGCGGGCGCCGGAGCGGGCTCGGGCGCGGCCCGCTCGCCAACCGGGAGGGCGTCGTCGTCTGCCGCGGCGGGAGCCGGCTCGCCGTCGTCGGGAGCGGCCGCCTCGGGCGCGGGCGCGGGGGGAGCCGGGTCGGGAGCCGCCGCCTCGGGCGCCTCGGCGGGCGCGGCCGCCTTCGGCCGCGGCGCGGTGGCCGCAGGCGCCTCCGCGTCGGCCGCCG